TTTTCATGTCAACCATATTTATTAACCTAAAGTGTGTAATTATTAAGTAACTGAAAAATAATTTAACAAATAATTGGCCACAGAAATAAAAAAGTTAATGTCTGTTTTTTTTACTTTCATTAATATAACGAACAGCTGTGGTTCAGTAGAACATTAAATTMTTTTTGAAAGGTGTTTAAAATTATTTACTAAGAAAAAACAATTCTTTATGTGTAAAACCAAATCTCACATAATAAAATTACCTTTTGTAAAATAAGAATTCCGTGAGATTCCACGTTTTACACCGAATTCCATTTTGTTTGGTCAATTCTGCGATTCCGTCCGCGTTTTCCGCATCGTGGAAATTATAGGGCCCTACAGCAGGCTGTTTATTATCCGTTACTGGGCCTGATGCAACAATGMATGTTTGCAACAATGATAAATTTAGCTGGATGATAAGCTGTCTCAAAAAATATTGTAATAATATTGTTAATTGATAATAATGTTATGATAATATTGTTTGTAGACTAATAATGATAATGATGCACAATTTATTCTTCATGTGTCTTCCACTGGCTTCAGAAAATAACTGCAGTCACCCCCACACTCCTTACAAAGTTTACGGAAGTTTACAAAATTTACGTAGTGTAAAAAGAAAAAACAACTTCGCGAACACAAGGGTCGGCCTGGTGCCCTGAGGTGTCTGTGCTGAAGAAGCTGTCAACAAACAGAAAATGCTCCTCATGCTAAATGACTGTTSATGGGGCTCACATACTAGAGGTTATGAAACCATACACCTGGCAAATRCCTGACGTGAGAGTTCACTCCTCCCTACGCTAAGGAGTGGAAAAGAAGGAGACACAATGTAAACAAACAAGCAAGCAAATGAAAATTATCAACCTCATTTTAATTTATTGTGTGATTATTTGATTTAGGGATGCACCAATATGAAAATTGATATCCAATAATTACGAATATTACACAAACACACAAATTATTCATATATATAGTATATACACTGCCTGGTCAAAAAAAAGTTGCTACCAAAAAAAGGTCACACTCTAATATTTTGTTGGATTATTTTGTTCAGCTTTGATTACAGCACGCATTCGCTGTGACATTGTTTGGATAAGCTTCTGCAGTATCACAAGATTTATTTCCATCCAGTGTTGAATTAATTTTTCACCAAGATCTTGCATTGATGATGGCGCAAAGCTTTCTCCAGCACATCCCAAAGACTCTCAATGGGCTTAAGATCTGGTCTCTGTGGAGGCCAATCCATGTGTGAAAATAACGTCCCTGAACCACTCCTTCACAATTCAAGCCTGATAAATCCTGGCATTGTCATGTTGGAATATGRCCGTGCCATCAGGGAAGAAAAAAAATCCATTGATGGAATAACCTGGCCATTCAGTATATTCAGAAAGTTAGCTGACCTTATTCTTTGAGCACATACTTTAGCTGAACATAGACCTGACCAACTGCAGCAATCCCAGATCATAGTACTTAGTTAAAACCAGGTGGTGACATTTTTTTTTTTGGCCAGGCAGTGTATGCAAAAACACCTGGGTGTCTTTTCTCAACAACATAAAAAAAAACCACCACTGAAATGGCTCTATACTTCAGTTTTACCTGGCTGTGCAGCATCGCTATCACTATCATGATCATACAGAAACTGTTCGACCAACCATCTCCCCTCCCGAAACAGAAACACAAAGTTAAAAGGTGGTAAATCTATACTGGATGTTAATATCAGCCCAATTTTACTTATCAGACCGATACCGATATGCTAAAAAATGACCAACATCGGCCAATACCACTGTTAATGCTGCTATATCGTGCATCCCTAAATTGAATTGTTGCTTATCACAACAGGTCTATCTTTTACTTTAACCAATAAAAGGAAGAAAATGCACCTGTATAATAAAAAAGTATTGTTTCAAACGTAGCACACATGTAGTGAGTTCTCAAGTGCAGCAGCGATTTTAAAGAAAGGAGAAGGAAAAAAAATGTCCATTACAATCCCTTAATGACACTTTGTCAATGTGGTTGTTAATGAGTCGGTGCTTTATCGAGGTGATGAAGGACCTGACTAAGACTGAAGACAGAAGGCAGACAGAATCCGACATTATGGGGCAATAAGTCCTCAGCTCCATTTGCTTTAGACCTCTACTAACCCAGCTATTCATCACAGGGTTCAAGCACGTAGCAATAAGTGAAGGCAGACTATTGGGTCATGGGAGGTCAAGTCAAACAAAATTTGTAATTAAAGCCGTTATCAGCACAGCGGCGATAACAGGTCACATGTTTGCAACAAAAAGCGTGGCTACAGACACATAACGCCTCTGCTCTTAAACTGGTGTGTGCCAGGGCTCTGGTGATATTTTTATAATCTATTTACAGTTACAACTCTATGATTGTTGAGAGCAAATAAATAAATAAATAAATAAATAAATAAATAAATAAATAAATTAAACACAAAAACAAAACAATCCGTGGAAGTAAAATAAAGCACAAATTTAACAACAGAGTTAAGCTTTCTAAGTGAAAAAAAAAATAAGCAACACATGTTTCATGCTGTAGTTGTACATAAACTATAAGCAGCACAAATCTTAACCAAGAAAGTCTTTGCCACGGGCACATTCCAACACCAATTAACCTCTTCATTAACTATAGAAACAGCTTTATGTCTCTTGTTTAACAAAGGCCAAAGTAAGATATAATTATTCTCTTTAAGACAAAACATATTTATTTACTCTGACAGCAACCACTGAATAATAATGAAACATCTGATTAAAATTATGCTTGGATAACACATTATACTGTCTACAGTTTGACAGAACTTTGGAAGGAGACCAAAAGAATAACAAAACTATACAGCAACACTTGAAAAATAAAAGAAGGCATCAAAAAGTTGCCACTTTATGACAAACAGCAATGCTTTTTGTAGTTAATATTGATGTTCTCTCTGCCTCCTTTTAACGTTTAAGAAGATAAATTACACTAAACGTTCATCGTTTTTTGTTTTGATTCATCCCTCCTCTTAGAAACACACAATATAAAAGAGCAGCAGCAAGAATTTTCTAGTTTTGCCACAACAATGGCAGGAAAAATCTTGCGCTCATTGAACTGACAGTGATTTCGTGCTACAGATATACACAGCAAGCTGTCAGGGCTGCCTTCAATCAGAAAAACAGAAAAAAGCATTGCTCATTTCTAAACGATTGTGCTAAAATGGATGCGTAATTCGCCACATGCAAACTGATCCTTCCCTTCACAAAATCTATTTAAAAGCCAAGTTACTGCCTATAATCTTTATTGGTCGAAACTGTGTGTATCAATACAGAGAATGTTCTAGTGGGCAGTCTTTTGATGAAGGTCTGTGATAAACTGTCCAGCTTCAGTCAAACTTAGTGAAATAAATCAAAATTAAAGACATCAAGTTGTTAACTGATCCATGTAAAGATGTGAAGAAAAGATGAAAAGTTGTCTAAAGCTTGTTAATGTAGAGCATTAATCCAAGCCAATTATCATTGCCAGGGAAGCAGAGAACACAGAACAACACCTCTCTGACTAAAGGGCCTTCTTCCCTCCACTTACAAAAGCAATTAATTAGTCAGAACTTCTTTAATTCTTTAATTAGAAAGCCCTTTTTTAATTTGACGCATTACCAGGCGACCCAGCACTTACTCAAATTACTGTTCATTTATAGCACACGGACACATACATCTTCTCCCATGTGCCTCCCTTTCCCGATGACAAGACGCTGTTTGTGTGGGAGAAGAAAAGGCGTGTTGAAGCTGTGATTGGCAGACCCGCGTTGTCACAGTAACAGACATTCAAGCACACATACAGTCTCAATGAAGCGGTTTCCTGCTGGAGCTGCCCAGCCCCTAAACAGGGCAGACAACCAGAGCTTCAGGACATGGCAAGGTAATGGAAAACAACAAAGACTGAAATAAGCTAGTTTTTGTCCATACTGCCACCCAGTAATAGGATTAGGCCATAATTCCCACCAAAGTCATTGGTTATTGGTAGGAGGGAATAGCTTGGCATGAAATCTATCTGTTGTAACTACACTCTCTTGAGTGAGCATTCTCTAGTTGAGGTTTGAAACACTTGGATTTAGGATTGGACAAGGCTTTTGATAAAATCGTGACCAATTCAGTTCACTGCGCAACCCAGCAGCAATTGGACAAATCTTCGGAGAGATAGTCAGTACCTGGAGGGAGACTGGTTCTTTTCCTCTTCTTGCTATTGTCAGCAGTGTTTTCCAAGGGGGCACAATCGGTCACCAGAGAACCACTGGAACTGTTGAACTGGAGAGGGTCGTTGTTGGTTGCTGGATCAAAGGGCAGAGTGTTGAGTCCTGCAACACAGACCACACAGAATGCATCATTGGAAAAAAAAAATACAAGTACTAAGGCAACTAAGGTGAAAAACATTGAAAAAACTTTGTAAAAACCAAGAAAGACAAACTAACAAAATTTGTGGTAGATCATGTCACATGTTTAAAAGCACTGCAATAACCGCGAATACCAGAGATCGCCCATGTTGCTTTGAAAATATGCAATTTTACGTAATTGAGTATTCATACTGACTCAAAAAGACAACAAATATGGTGGTGAAGACAGAGGCATAAGTCCCCATTCGCAGAATATATGCCACAGGAACCAATCAGCAGGCAGGATTCAGTCTTGGACTTGCGGCAGCCAAAACCACGGGGCTTAAAGTTCTCCATCACCACAACGGATTTTCGTAACTTTGAATGTGGCCAGGATGGATTTCTGTCATCTGTAAGTGGGGGAACWCTGGTTGCTTTCTGTTGCGTTCTTGYTAAAGCCACCCAGTCTGCTCAAAACGGGATGCTACTTTYAACAAACCAAACAAACCCCAGAGCACTTTTATCCAATAAGAGCAGAGCCGGGCGGGTCCTCCTGAGTGAGTAAACCTCTCATCTCCTCCCTCACTTCACTCCTGGAACTTTGGTCTCTAAAACCTAACTTTATATTAAATATTTCTGCTCATAGCGCCATTATCCAACTTTGCACATATGACCAAGCTCCTCGTGCAAAGGCTGTGCGCTACATGCAACATTCAGTTTGTTGGTTCGTCATACTTATCCTACAGTATTTCACAAGTTATAAAGTATTCTGCCACATGGAAAATACTATAAGCACCAAGTATAAACACCTCCATCACTGGCGAGGATGCACGCACTCCATGCTACCCGGAGCGCAAACCAAGCCGAGACTGCTCCCACGGGAGTGCACATGCTGTGAGTCGGATTTGTTCACTGATGAACATAAACATTTACCCCCTCCTTGTCATCATCAGGAGAACAAAGTGTAAATTTAACACTATCAGAGTTAAAATTTAACACTTGTACAAATTTTATATGGGAACCACCACTTCTGTGTTAAATTATCACTTATAAAAGTGTTAAAATTATTAACACCAATTAAGAGTTAAAGTTATGTAAAACAGTAACTCTATAAGAGTTATAAAATTACACTTATAAAATTACACTAAGTTGGTGTTAAAACTACATTTGTGGTGTAAAACAGTAACACCAGAACAGTTTTGAAAGTACACTAGTTTAGTGTTAAAATTACTTTTCTGTGTTGTAAAACAGTAACTCTGTAAGAGTTATGAAATTACAATGATTTAGAGTTAAAATTACATACTCATGATGTATAGGAGACCATGTTTCAAATGTTTTTGTAGTTTATCATATCCATAGATGTCCTAGTAAGCAAGCAGGGTTTAACAGCATGKTTTTTTTTTCAAGAAAGAAAGATATCGTCAGATTATTGATGTTGGCAAATGGAAAAAAATATTGAGATATTTTTTCTGTTCATATCGCTCAGCCCTATCCACAAGCCCCTCTTTCACTCCTTTTCTGAGGTGTGTCTCAGATCAACTCGTTTTGAGGCTGTCTCCTTAAATGCAGACAAGGAGCTTCACACAAAATTTAAAAATGTCTTAAAACAAGAATTTCAAATATATTTGATCAATCATATGTTGCTGCTGCTGGTATGATTCCAACACTAAGAAAATCCAGTAAACTTGCATCTACAGGTACTATAATAATAATAATAATAACTAAAATATTGTGAATTGCCCCTGAGTGCCAATACCTGATGTGTTCAGATTTGTTTTAGTTTTTTTTTTTTCTTCTGCTCGGCACAAGAGAAAAGAAGCCCTAGTTTACAGAAGCTCAATCAGTGGTCTGAAGAACCCTTATCAGTTTGTATCGGACTCCAGCTGCACTCTAAACATCAACAACATGTTCATTACTGGACATTAAAGGCTGCTTTTCGTTCCGCAATTCGCATTTTTAAAAGACTCGCATGAATGATCAAATGCTCCCTGCTTTATCAAGACGCATGCAGCTGCAGTTTTATTTATATGACACATCAGAACAAATATGATCAAAATTCCTCTGCCAACTGTGTCTTTACTTTCCGTGCCTTCAATTAAGATTGATAAGAAGCTCAACAGTGACTGACAAATGAGATATGCAAAGGAAGAATAACACAGGAGATCAAATCTTGTTTGCAAAAGAGAGCAGACTACTTATTTATTTTCGAATATTCTCAAATAACCATATTCCTTTTAACGTATGTGCCTCTACAAAAATGAACAAAATGTGTTAAAGTTACATCTGTGATAAAAAAGACTTGTGAAATAAATTATTTAAATACATCAAATCTGCGGGCTGAAGATTTGTTTGATTTAAACATTGAGTCTATATTTGCTGCAGAGTTAATTTGAATAGATCTTCTGTCTGGGCTCAAACTCTTCTGTCGATCGCCACTGAAAATCCATCAGTCACACTTATTTAYAGATGACTGTCAATTCTCTGGAGTGAAATGAATCCATTACTTTGGCAATGTTAACTCTGTCAGCAATAAACACCTACAGTTTATAAAAAGAGATGCAGCCTTTCATTCACGCAGGGCATGAAGAGTTCCTGGGAAGAGAGGCACAGAGAAGCCATGGAAAGAGTGAAGCATTGTGAACAGCTGCAGGGAAATACCACTGTGCTTTCGAGGCTGTGGTCTAATTTCAGTTCACGAAGGGCAAAAAAAATGTGACTTTTACTCATAGTGGTGTGCATAGCTAACTATTTTCTTCTTGAGAAATAAACAGGGCAAATTAAATGTGGCACAAAGTTGACATGAATTTTAAAAAAAAGACTCGAGGCAGGCATTTGTTAAAGTCAAATATGCAACTTAAAAGAAGAGTTACACGTTCAGAAAAATCTTGTGTGACATTCAAGATCCCATCTGGCTCTTACAGAGGAAAGGTTCGTAAAAGTAAAGCTTGGACTCAAAGGAAATGAAACATTTTATCAGGCGTGTGTCTCTGAGTTTGAGCTCTGGACAGCTGTAATTTCTGTTGGTTTAAAAAGCAGAGAGTAAAAACAGAGCTCTGGACAAAAGCCTTTGAGTGTGTGTGCATGTGTGCTAGCGTAAACCTGCATATTAACCAAATCTTTGTTGGGTCATCGCCCCGTGTGTCTGCTGCTACTCGTATATCTGCTGGCTGACGAACGGGGTGTCTAAATTTCAACATCTGGCCAAAGGGAGGAGCGATGTCAATAAGTATCTCTCCTTGGGGGAGAAAGAAAATAAATACCAGGAGGCTGGGTGGAGACGGGAGGAACTGAATCAAAAGGCTGCAGAATAAATCAAGGCAATGAAACAAAGAAAGAAAGAGACAAACTTTAGAGCAAAACAATGCAATAAAAATTACAACCAATTCTGCCTAGTTTTTATGAAGGACGCATTAATAACAYGCAACGTTAATGTACAAAGATACACAGAATTAGAATACAGAGTGAATGTCAGTGGATAATTACTTCACCTTACCTTGGAGTACAATCAGAAATGTTACCACCAATGTCTAAAAAGAGTAAAGACCAATTTATAATGTTATTTTTGTCTTTTAACTACAAATAGCAGTTTATTAAAACAGCAATTTGGACTGCGACAAAAATATTTCATTTTTTATATTTAACTTTTTTTGTTCTCAAATAGAACAAAAAAACCCTAAAACTGACACATTCATGTAAACTATTAATACTAGTTATTATTAAAGTTAGAGGTGTCCAGGTACCAATTTTTCTCAAACCGAGTACGAGTATTTCAGTTTGGTACTTGCTGATACCAAGTACCAATAGAGTACTTACTGAGTTAGAACCTAAACATTACACCATAACTTTAAAAACATATTTTATTTAGAAGAAGGTGGCTCTCCTTCCTTATAGAGCCCCTTTGACTATCAGTTTAAATATACAGCATGACGTATAMCGGTGCAACGTTTTAAAATAAATAAAAACAAGAAATTAAATTTTCTTTCGTTTTCCAYAGGTTTCTTAAACATGAAACAGACAAACTTTTCACTTAAAGTATAAGCCGTAACACATTTAAATGAGTACACAATCTGGTATTTTGAACTTGTAAAAATGCTGGTATCGGTACACCACTAATTAAAATGTAATATGTAACTTTAAAGTCACACAAATCATGCCCCTTTTTAATGGCAGTGCAGAATAAGACATCGAAATGATATGCCGTGTCAGTTAGCATGGTTTCTAATGCACAGGTGGAGTCATGTTAGCGCCAACAATGAGTTATATAATGAGATCCATTAAATAATTGTGATATAATTAGTTTTAAATAATGCATTTATGCTACTGGAAGGTGCCGGGTTTGAACTTGCACTTTTTCAGTCAGAGAGCAGGACTTAAAAAGCATAACACTGAGCTGTAATAATTTTCAGCCCGACACATTTGTATAATTTTCCTGTAACGCTTCATGCAGTTCCTATCAGCTAATAAACCCATTGGTATGAATGAATAATGCAGAGCATAAGGAAGTGTGCAACAGCATAGCAGTGAGGAAGGGAATCAGTAGTGGGGGAAACCCTAAGAGCGGTGGACTATTAACCTAAGATAGAACTCAGAAACATATAGACTATGCCAACCACTGTGTTCATTCATCTGAGCAAAGCAAAGGACCAGACAGTGGCATGCTGCATTAACATAACATATTCTCAGCCACAGAAATAAATTAGCTTCTCTGACTTTTCCACTTCATTACTGAACCCACTCTGTCTATCAACAAACTGCCTTTCTGCTCCGCTGATTTGTATCATCCAACAGGCAAAGTGGTTGAGACACCCACCCGTCACAACAAAAGGTGAAGACCAACTTTTCATACTAAACAGAGACACMTGCACAAGTGGTTTGTATTGCATTTAGGACTACACGATGAGCCACAAGTTATAGATTATTCTGTCCTAAAACTAATCAAAGCTCCTGCAACCCAGGAACTGATTTTTCTTTGTTGCTGCAGTGAG